AGCCTGGGCAGGGGCGGGGCCAGGCTCCTAGATAGGCAGGTGGGCAGGGCCAACAGTCTGGGGTGGAGCCTGGGCAGGGGCGGGGCCAGGCTCCTAGATAGGCAGGTGGGCGGAGCCAACAGGGATCTGGGGTGGAGCCTGGACAGAGGCAGGCCCAGGCTCCAAGATAGGCAGGTGGGCGGGGCCAAGTTGGCCACAGAGGAGGGGAAGGGCAGGAGTTCTAGATGGACAGCAGGCCGTGGCCAGGAAGGTGGAGGGGATCAGGCAGAAAGCTGATGGCGACTGTTGGGAGGAGCCAGACACAGACACCTGACCCAGCTGCTCCCAGGTATGCCTTCCTGCTCGACAAAGCTCTGCTCATCTGCAAGCGCCGAGGGGACTCCTACGACCTCAAGGACTTTGTGAACCTGCACAGCTTCCAAGTTCGAGACGACTCCTCCGGAGACCGGGACAACAAGAAGGTGGGGCTCTGAGGCCAGAACTGGGGAATGCAATGCTGGGGAGCCCCAATGCAATTTGAGGCTCTCCACTTGGCCTTTGGAATGTGTTTGTGTGTGTGTGTGTTTCAGACCTGAGTGTGTATATGTGTGTGTTTGATTTTAGGTTTGTGGATGTGTGTTTAGTTTTCCTGGGCAGCCCTGTACGAGCGAACCCATGCCCTTTCTGGGGGCTAGGAGGCTGTTATTGGCCTGATCCTTTTCTCCCTACAGGGATAGGGGTCGGGGGGTGTGTGGTCCCACCCTCTGCAGGGTGAGTGCCTTCATTCTGAACCCTGCTTCCCTGCAGTGGACTCACATGTTTCTCCTGATCGAGGACCAAGGTGCTCAGGGCTATGAGCTGTTCTTCAAGACACGGGAACTGAAAAAAAAGTGGATGGAGCAGTTCGAGATGGCCCTGTGAGACCCCTTCCTCCTCCGTCTTTCTGTCCTCAGAGGACTCTGTCACGTGGGTGCAGGGGTGGGAGGCAATTCTGTGCTCTAGTCTCACCTCTCTGCCTTGACGTTCTGTGGGACCACTCTGAACTTTAGTCTCATCATCTGGGAAGCGCGAGGGACAGGCTTTTAAGGCTGTCTGCACCCCCAGAATGCCAAGGTTCTGTCTAAGCTTCAGCCACCAGCCTGGAGCTCCTTCCTCCTCCTCTTCCTCCTCCTCCTCCTTCTTGAGATGAAATTCACATAACTAAAAATTAGCCGTTTTAAAGTGTACAATTCAATGGCATTTAGCACATTCAGAGTGTTGTGCAACCACCACCTCTATCTAGTTCCAAAACAGTCTCATACCCCCCAAAAGGAGGCCCTGCACTCATGAAGCATTCACTCCCCGTTCCCCAACTCCCAGCCCCTGGCAACCACTTATCTGCTTTCTATCTCCACCCAAGTTCATAGCAGCGCTATTCACAATAGCCAAAATCTGGCACCAACCAAAATGTCCATCAATGGAGGGATGGAGAAACACAATATGGTATATCCATGCAATGGAATAGTATTCAGCCACCAAAAGGAATGAAGTCCTGATGCCTCTAAGTTGCAGCGTGTATTGGTATTTCATTCCTTTTTATGGCTGAATACTATTCCATTGCATGCAATTATCTTCCCTCTCCAGCTCCAACATCTACCCTGAGAACGCCACTGCCAACGGGCATGACTTCCAGATGTATTCCTTTGAGGAGACCACATCCTGCAAAGCTTGCCAGATGCTGCTGAGGTGGGAGTCTGGGAGGATGAGCCTGTGTCCTCGTGTTGGTCAGCACTTCCTCCTTAGAGGGGCTCCCCTGGCTGTCAGTCTGCTGAGTTGGGAGGTGGGAGGCTCTCCTTTGATTTTCAGCTTCTCCATCTCTCTCCTTCTCTAAAGAGAACCCAAGGGGACCCTTCACGTTGTTGGCAAAATGATTGGCTGTGTCCCTTCAACATCTCTGACTCTCCTTTGTCTCCCCTCTGCATTCCAGAGGCACCTTCTATCAGGGCTACCGCTGTCATCGGTGCCGGGCACCTGCACACAAGGAGTGTCTGGGGAGGGTCCCTCCATGCGGCCGACATGGCCAAGGTACCAGTGGAAGAGAGGGTGGGAGCTGGGCTTGGTTCTGCATGGGGCATTTCCCATCCTAACTATTTCCTTCTCCCTCCCATAGATTCTTCAGGAACTATGAAGAAGGTAAGATCCCCATACCTCTTTCTGTGTATGAAAAATCATGATGGCTAATCAGGAAGAAGACCCAGGAGACCCCAGCAGTGGGCATGGCCCTTTGCCAGATGCTCACATGGGGGCTGAGGAGCCCCCAGGCTGGGCATGGATAGCCATTCTTGCTTTCTTGGTCTCTCCCTCCAGGACAAGCTGCATCGCCGAGCTCAGGACAAAAAGAGGAATGAGCTGGGTGAGTCGTCAGGGGGCACTGTCAAGGGCAGAAGGAAATCTGGTCCTTGCCTCCGTGATGCTGGCCCAGGGACAGGTCTCAACGATTATATGAACGACCACATAATGTCCTGCTTATAAAGCTGTGATCCGTTTGTTCCAGTCCTAGAAACTCACAAGGAATTTAAAAATAACAGACTCAAATTCTTTACTTGCTTTGCTCAAACACTGTGAAGGGCATGCATGGAGCACAGCAATCCTGGTTCAGATCCTTTTTCTCTTCTGTGTGCTTTTCTTTTTCCTCTATCCACCAACTCTTTTTTTTTTTTTTTTTCACTTGCTGACAAACCCCTGAGTAGTCTCAGCCAGCCAGGTACACTTCTGAGAGTTCTCTTCATTCCTTCTCCTCTTGATTCTGCATCACCAAATCTTACAATATGGTGGTTGCAGCAAAGTGTCCTCCACCTGGAGGATGGGGGAGCGGAAGATACAGCTTGGCTGAGCCAGAATTGTTTTTAGCCCGATGTCAGGGGAACAGGCTGGATTCCTTCATATGTTAGTGAGTTTTGTGGAGTCACAGCGTTGATGGGTGACTTTTATTCAGCATCTACTGTCTATATCCTTTGGGGCGAATGATGACTAAAACAGTTGTGCTCCTCGCCCTCCCAAAGCTGCCAGGCAGTAGTCGGAGACAGACTTTGGTTAAGGCATTACAGCTGGAAGTAGAGGGTTTTCTGGAGCATAAAACTGGGGGACCTGATGAATCTGAGTGTTCAGGGAAGGCTTCTCAGAGGAGGAGACATTTAAGTGGACACTTGAAGGATGAGGAGGAGTGGGACAGGTGAGGAGGAGGGCAGGAGTGTTCCAGGCAGAGGGAACAGTATGTGCAAAGGCTAGGAAGTAGGAGGGCAGGGCAATATGAAAGAAATGAGAACACTTTGGTGTAGCTGGGAGAAATCACCTCTTTGCTCATAGTTATACAGAGTCGGTGTAAAGACTCAGATTTCATATCTATCTATCTACCTATCTATATTGATAGATAGGTATCTATAGATAGATAGATATAGATATACCAGCTTTATTTGCAATAGTCAAAAATTAGCAACAACTCAAATGTTCTCAATAGGAGGAATATATATATATATAATATTTATATATAATATAATAATAATATATAATCAGCTTTATACAAAAATGTATATATCAGCTTTATTTGTCAAAAACTAGAAACAGCCCAAATGTCCTCAATAGGAAGAAATATATATGAGTATATGTGTATGTGTGTATGTATCCATTATGTATGTATATATTTAAACATATCCTATATATATGTACATATATATGCTTTACTTATCATATATATATATCGTACACACACTTATACATATCCATTATATATATATATATATATATACACACACTTTTTATTGAGTATGACTGTAGATTGCATAAAGTGAATAAATCTTAAGTGTACGGCTCTATGAATTTCTACCCACGTAAGCAACACTCAGTTCAATGTATAGAACATATCCGTCACTCTAGAACTGGACTATCCAATATAAAATAAAAATAATTAAAATTAAATAATCTTAAAAAGTTTTTTACTCGGTCACACTAGTGACATTTCAAGTGCTCAATAGCCACCTCTGGCTAATGGCTACTGTATCGAACAGCACGTATTATCGAGCACTTCCATCATCACAGAAAATTTTATTCAATAGCACTGCTGATCATGCACTGCTAGTCAGTCCCCACCTACCTCCCAGAGGGAACTACTGTCTGACCTCTATCTCCATAGATTAATTTTGCCTGTTCTTGAACTTCATAAAAGTGAAATCATATGGTATGCCCTCTTACCGCATCTGGCTTCTTTTATTCAGCATAATGTTGGAGAGATTCATTGATGGGGTTGCCTGTAGCAGTAGCTTGTTCTTTTTCATTGCTTTATAGTATTCCATCGTATGATTTTTTTTTTTTTTTTTTTTATCACGTCGTGTTCATCCATCTTATTGAGGACATTTGGTTTGCTGCCAGATTTTGGCTACTGTGAATAAAGTGCTGTGAACATTCTTGTCTATGACTTTTGGTGGACATGTGTTTTCATTTCTCTTGGGTGTATATACTGGAGTGGAATTTCTGGATCACAAGGTAGATGTCTATTTAGCTTTAGTAGATACTGCCAAACAGTTTTCCAAAGTGGATTCCCACCAGCCATGTAGGAGAGTTCTAGTTGCTCCATATCCTTGCCACCACTTAGTATTGTCAGACTTTTTAATTTTCGCCATCCTGGTGGGTGGCAAGACTCAAGTTTGAAAATCCTTGACTACCAACCACGCTGTGCCACCATCTTCCCTCCCCTCCAGGCCTGCCCAAGATGGAGGTGTGTCAGGAGTACTATGGGCTTCCTCCACCCCCTGGAGCCTTTGGATCTTTTCTACGGCTCAACCCTGGAGACATCGTGGAGCTCACCAAGGCTGAGGCTGAACACAACTGGTGGGAGGTACAGGCTGGGCTGTGGGAGTGATGGAGAAGGACTTGAGTGTGGAATCATGGGTGTAGGTGACCTCAGGAAGTGGGGTCATGGCCCCATTGGACTCCAGCAAGAGAAGCCTGCTCTGGAGGAGGCACCTGGAGAGGGTGGTGTAGACAGGAATTTCTGGGGTTGGTGTGGCTCTTCTGAGCTGGCTGTCTTCCCAGAAAGTTGATACTGGCTGGTCCCTCTCGGGGTCATCCAGGCCATAGAGAGATAAATGGACAGGCAGAGTGGCCGTTGGGTAGAGTGATGGATACACACATATGCTCACAGATGCCTGTAACCCATCATGTCTTTTCTTCCCGACTTTTTAGGGCAGGAATACAGCTACGAATGAAGTTGGCTGGTTTCCATGTAACAGAGTCAAGCCCTATGTGCATGTGAGTGCCTCAAGTCTGGACAGAGCCAGGGCAAGAGGGTCCTGTGAGGGCGGGCAACCTTGGGGAGACACTGCTGGAGATAGGGAGGGGGCTGTCCATCACGGAGGGTCATTCCCAAACTCAAGATTCTGCCTGCCTCACCATCTGAGCCCAGAGTGGGGAATGATGGGAATGATGACCAGTCCTTTCCTCCTTGATTCTTCTTGTATGAAGGTCCTTTTCTTCGTACATGAGAAGGAGCAGGGGTCCAGAAGGCTGGCCAGCCCCTGACTTCCTTGGGAGGCACTGAATGGGTTCCTGTGAGGTGTCATGTCCCCCATGCCTCCTTGCTTAGCTCCTGTGAACAGACCTGCCCACCGCTCTGCCCAGCCTGTCATTCTTCAGCTGTTCCCTCACTCTTTACAATGACTTCAGATCTTTCCCACTCTCCCAAACCTCAGCCATCTCTCTTCCTCCCTCCTTCACAGCGAATGACCCCAAAGCCTACTTCACAGCCCAAATAGGAGCCTGCAGAGGGAAACTCTCTCCTATTTTTGTTGCTTTAATTTTATATCATTTCAGAATTTCAGGGAAGTCTTGAGAATAATGCAAAGACCTCCGTATATCCTTTACCCAGATTCACCAGCCGTCAACATTTTATCCCGTTTGCTCTATCATTTGCTCTCTTTCTCTGCACATTTTATTTCATTTTTAAAATTTATATAATTTTTTCCCTGAGACATTTAAAAGTAACTTTACAGACATATCTTCCCTTCACCCCTAAATACTTTTTACAAGAACCTTCTCTTACATCACCATTGCATGATTTTAAAAAACATGAAATTCAACGTTGACCTTATACTATTATTTAATCCGTAGTCTATATTTAAATTTTACTAATTTTCCCCAAAATGTCTTTTAGAGATTTTTTTTTTTTTGTCCTGGAGTTGTCCACGTTTCTCCTGTGGAGATACGTTATGAGTTTCCAACTCCACCGTTCCTTCCAAATTTATTAGCTGGTGTTCTACAGTAAGGAAGAGCTGTTTCTTCTAATCTATCTGTGTATGTATGTATCAATCAATCGTCTCTGTATCTATCTAACAATCATCTATGTATCTACCTGTGTATCTATGTATCTGTATATGTTTGTTTGTATGTATCAATCAATGTATCTGTCTAACAATCATCTATGTATCTATCTGTGTATCTGTATCTATCAATCATCTATTTATCTATCTACCTATCAATCGTCTATGTATCTAATGATCATCTATGTATCTATCATCCATGAATCTATCTATGTATCTAAGTACCTATCTATCATCTATGCATCTATGTATATAAGTATCTATCAATCATCTATGTATCTATCAATCATCTATGTATCTATGTGTCTAAGTACCTATCAATCAATCATCTATGTATGTATGTATGTACGTGTCTATCTATGTATCTATCTATGTGTCTAAGTATCTACCTATCTGTCTGTCTGTCTATCTATCTATCTATCTATCTATCTCGGGAAATGCTTGTGGATTCCTATTTTAAAATCATCCCAGGGGCCAGCCTGGTGGCTCAAGTGGTTAAGTGCGCATGCTCCGCTGCGGTGGCTCGGGGTTCGCCGGTTCGGATCCCGGGCTCGGACCGACGCACAGCTTGTCAGGCCGTGCTGTGGCGGCGTCCCATATAAAGTGGAGGAAGATGGGCATGGATATTAGCCCAGGGCCAGTCTTCCTCAGCAAAAAGAGGAGGATTGGCAGATGTTAGCTCAGGGCCGATCTCCCTCACAAAAGAAAAAAAAAAATCATCCCAGCCTTGGCCAAAAGGCGCCCCTTTAGGCTGGTTCTTCTGTCCCTTTGATATGTCTTCATCATTCTTTGAGCCCTACCTTATTTTCCAGCATAATACCAAACTTATCTTACATTTTCCCTGCTTCATTCTTGGAATCAACCATTTTCCCAGGGAGCCCTGGTCCTTTCAGTGCGACATGGCATTTAGAAGCCAAAATCTGGGCATCTCTCCAATTTCTGCTTCCAAATGTAACTGCCTCTTTAAATCCACACTTATTCTTGCCTCTGCTTCTCCCATCACCAGGAAGGCTCTCAGAAAACACAGAAAAAAATGACAATTCTCCCCTCTATTTGAGGCTCCCCATCCTCTCAGCACCACTCATCTTACAAGATAATTACTATTATTTGTTTTTTATATGTCTGCCTAGAGTTTCTTAATGCACGTACAAATAGATAAAAATATGGATTTATATTCCCTGATGGTTTACTCAAAAGGTTCAATACTTTTGCAGCTTGCTTTTTTCTCCTACTTAACGTATCTTAGGATCTTTGCATATCACTATACGTAGAACATTGCATTCTTTTTTCTCCCTTTTTAAAAAATTGAGGTGAAATTTGCACAACATAACCTTAAGCATTGTAAAGTGTACACTTCAGTGATATTTAGTACATTTTGCAAGGATTCCTTTTTTATGCAATGTCTAAAATAGGTAAATCCATAGGAACAGAAAGCAAATTGGTAGTGTCCAGGTCCTGGGGTAGAGGGAATAGGAACTAACTGCTTACTGAGTAATGAGTGTGGGTTTTCTTTCGGGGCGATGTTTTGGAATATTATTTTTAATTATGGTAAAATACACATAACATAAAATTTACCATTTTAACCATTTTTAAATGTACGGTTAAGTGGTACTGAGTACATTCACATGTTGTGCAACCATCATCACCATCCATCTCCAGAAACTCTTTTCATCTTGCAAAACTGAAACTCTGTACCTATGAAACACTAACTCCCCACTGCCCGCCCCCC